GTGTGGGGGGGGGGGGGGGGGGGGGGGGGGGGGGGGGGCGTGGATCGAAGTCGCATGTAAACATGCGTGCTTCTGGCTGGAAGTGGCTCGCGTGTTCCGACTTTCTACCGTTTCACCGCCGCACATCTTGCTCGGGCGGATGGCACCGTATCCCTGGAACGCAGCTACCGGACAATTCTTGACGACCTGGAGTCACTTGCCTCATTGGACATTTGTTACTACCGCGGTCCTCTTGTGTTCCTAGATCTGCTGAGTAATAGCTTTGCGCTCACCAACCTGATCTGTGTTCTTTTGGACACGTTTGTCTCAGGGCCATGTCGGCAGCCCAAGGCGTGGCGAAGCTAGCGGTGCAGACTGTAGAGCGAACTCAAGGGGGGGGCGACCCGAGACATCTACGAACGGCGGGAGGGGTGCCAGCGTCCGAGGCCTTATCGCTCTCCCGACGGCTTAGGACAGCGTGCGCCAAGTTGGAGGTGTGTACGGTAGTGAAAGTAGTTTGCTGCTGTTGAGCGTGACGGTGCTCAGTATTTTTAAGGGAAGTAAGCCACTTAGACTGCTACTACTGCTGTTCATTCTACGGTGAAGGTCCGATGCCCATTGTACAGCTGAGTTTGCAACTGCCGATACATGTTGTTCATTCTTTGTTAATGGGGGGCTCCGCAGCCGACGGAGGGTCGGGGGGTAGGGTGTCCACCGCGGGGTCGAACGATTCGGTGGGTTGAGGATTTCTCGCATCGGTTACTAGGCCGTTCAGCACGCAGAAAACTAGCCATGCACCACTCGTTTCCGTTTGTTGGCGGCACATTTTCAGAAGAAGCATCAGCCATGCATGGCCTTTGGGTTTGTCGCACGCGCGTATCAAACCTAGAGTATCATGATACCTTGCCCCCCCATCGCTGCACGCCCTCCACAGCTCACGAGCGACGCTCCCATGTCGTTTGGAACCGCCGTGTTGTTGTGTGCTTCACCCCAACCATCACAGACTGGCGAGACGCCCGTAAGCCTAGCTGCACAAGAGATCAAGGAGGTCGCGAGAATACTCGAGGCGCGATCGGGAGCCCCCAGCGTTAGAGAGCCGCTTCGCTCGACCAATAGCATGGGAAGTGGGGGGGGGGGGCAAGGCGTTACCCGAGCATTCTCGACCTATTCTGAGGATGATGGCTGCGCAGATGCCTTGTACACTCAAGACTTGTGACATGGGGGGAGAGACTGCTGTTTTTTAGGCGAAAAAGTGCTTAGCGAATGGGAGAGAGCAACATTCACATTTGATAGAAGACGTATTGGGTAATTAAGTGACCTGTTGAATTACCAATCCTTCCTGACAGGTAGTTAGTTCCACCCCCGGCATTGCGCCGCTGTCCATTCTCCACTAGCCGAGCCTTGCGCGGACACGATCAACGAGACATAGCAGTAGATCTCCTGCCTATAGCCAGCCTGAAACTCCTACAGGAGGCGGAACCAGCGGCAGTCAAAAGTAGCACCCTGTAGCAAGAAAACTACGCCGTTCATAGCAGGCGGAGGGAGAGATTCGAAAAATTACCACGAATGGTCGACAAGTTACCATGAGGTTTAGGTGGATTGCAAACATGCCCCGCTCTCGTTACTCCGCATCTGCTCGTCAGAAGCCGGCCCACGCTCAGCCGTGCTATAGGAACACACGTACGGTAGCGTCCCATTCCTACAAAAGCACAGTACATTCGGCCACAGCTCGAAGTGAGCGAAGCAGCTCAGCTGACCATCCAACACAACCACCTGCCTTGCAAACGTGCCTTTGCCGCTTCTAGCACTGCACAACAACAGGGAACATAGTCCCGCAAATCTACTCGTTAGCCTTGGTCTTGTAGGGTTACGTTTGACTTGATCATGAATCTAACCCCAGCCCTAACCCTAACCCCTACCCTAACCTACCGTCAAAGCGCCGACGCCTCGGAGGAAAACCCGGGGATACATCGGCATATGTCCCCTCCCCCCCCCCAATTCACCCCGGTTTTCGATTTGTAGGCCTATGTGTCGTGAATTTTTTTTCGCGCAGACCCTTGCTACAGGTCTAAATTTGCCCCGAGATATTACTGGTACTTCGGAAGCAAAGTTTTTCCTTCATTTTGTCGGAAGAAAAACTCAAGACCTACTACTTATGACCTTCAGGCAGAACTTCCGGCACCCAGAAGGAGGGAACGGATTTGCACGTGGGATCAGAAGAAAGCTGGTGACCACAGCTCTCTGTAGGTACCTGAGTTGCGCTCAAAAGTTCCTATACTGTCCAAAATGGGCAGCTGAATGTGGGCACTTCAAACGCCTGTTATTACTCCGTCTGTTCGGAAATATAAGCGTGATTTGGAAATCAGGAATATAAGCGTGGTTTCCAAGATATGCTTCAACATAGGTCGTTTGGGCACGTGGGGCGTCGGATAAGTTCGGCATGTAGTCAGACATAACATTGGACGAAGAAAAAAAATGGTCAAGTAGGGAGGGGATAATCCGTTGCCATCCCCTGGTTGCGAAAATCGAGGAAAATCGAGCACATTTTTACCCAGCCACGTGAGAACCAAATTGAGGGTGCTGGCCATTCATGGCCGCATTCAAAACACAACCTCCCAGGCTTGTTTTATGGTAGCACCGCCCCGTTTGTCGTACGGGGTAGCTCGGACATCAATTTGGGGGGGGTGGGGGGCGGGGGGGGGGGGGGGGGGGGGGNNNGGGGGGGGGGGGGGGGGGGGGGGGGGGGGGGGGGGGGGAGGGATAAGGTTGGGTGGAGACAGCGTCGCAGTAGAATGGCCGCTGCTGGGGACGCTGAAATGTTGCTTTTACAGCAGTAGCTCACACACAAGCCTGACCACTTGTATTCCGTTGTTCGCCATGCATTGCATTCTTCACAGAAGTTTCACACGTAATTGCTCGTTCTTGAACATCCTGGCCGCCACAACTGCTGTACGTTTAGAATTTGCCACCACCTCGTCTGCCTCACTTTGCCGACGGGTTTTTTTCCGACCAAAACGCAAAACGCGTGCTTCTTCCTGCTACACGTACACGACACTCTGCGAAAAAACGTGCACGGACACCGAAAAGCATTTAACTGCCCGCCCGCCCCCCCTGTTCTACACAGCTGCCCCCCCTTCCGCCCCTTGCTCCTCTCCCGCCGCGAGCGCCGCGGTGCCCTTGGTCCACGCCTCCTCGGAGATTGGGTACCGCCGGGGGATTGGCGTCCCCGCCCGTGCAGCTTTGTCCTTGGCCAAGTGCGGCAGCTTCCCATCGCCAGTCAGGAGCGGCTTGAGCGCTTTCGAGTGCGCCCTCAACCCGAGCGCCTTGAGATTGTCAAAGAGCGTGGTTGTGGCAATCCCAAGCGCCGCAGCCAAGCGGCGCTGTGTGGTGCGGTCGTTCAGCGGGATGTCACGCAGACGCTCTCGCAATTCTTGGATAGGAATGCCCTTCCGACCACTGTTTCCCTTGCGCAAGTTTCCTATCTTTGGTCTGGCGACCCCTGCTTTACGTTGCGCTTCGTACCGCACCCACAGCCTCTTAAAGTCTCCCGTAGCAGCCGAACTTCTCCGCGGCTTCCTTGAACGCACCATGCTGAAGAACCCTACCTTTGCTGCCAGCGAGGAGGTGCCGAATCACCTCCTCCCTTTCCTCTTGGTTGAAATTCGTGCGTTTTGGCAATTGGGAGGCACTCCCAGCAGCAGACATCCCTCACCAGGAGATGGGAAGGCTTTTGGGCGGAGGTTTGAAGTTGGGGTGGTGAAATCGAGCAACTTCTGCTGGGGTGGGACACGCCTTTCTGGGTATGAAAAAAAGACCGGTTCTGCGCGCGCCGCGCAAGCGCGGCGGAACGCGGAACCATACAAAAAAACCGTTCGGAAAGGGATCCAGTATTGACTCTCCCTTCTTCCCCTCGCTCCTCGACAAGCTTTTGCTTAGACATGGGTTGTAGCGAAGGGGGGGGTCTTTCTGGCGAGCAGGGCTAGACTCACCCTCAAGGGATGACCGAAACCTTCTTGCTGCTGCGCATATCCGCCGCGAGGCATGCGCGTGGTGGTGTAGTTGGGTCG